AAGAAATAACGATCATTTCCCCCCTAAATTTTCCTTTATCTTTTTTAAAAAAAAAAAATGTCTTTTTTCGTGTTCCTAAAAAAAAAAAACCCCCCCCCTTTTTCTTTTTTTTGCCGATTTTTTCACTTTTCCCCCCCCCCCCCCCCCTTAGAAACCACGTGATGTCATATTTATCCTATCAGTCCTTAAGCGCGTGTAAAGATGGCGGGTATCGTAAATAAGGTCTACTGATCTTCTTCCACAAGCAGGGGAGGGGGCCTAGATAGATTGTCTTTGCATCAATTGCATAATTAACACCCACTCTGGCTTGAGCTGCTGATACCCCTTGCGTTTTGTAATTTTGAAAAAGATTGATGAGAGGCTTTGAAATCGTCAACTACAATACTGAACTTTTTTTACTATTGTTTACGAACTCTTTTTTTTAAATTTACTTTCTCCTTCCTCCTTTGTTTGACTGATAATTAACTGGTGATACTTATCGCACTGAATTGTGATATTGTTCAGGTACTCTGGATGGAGGCATTGGACTTCTGTTACCAATGACAGAAAAAACTTACAGGCGACTTCACATGCTGCAGACCAAACTAGTTGAGTGTATTCCACACATAGCAGGACTCAATCCAAAGGCTTTTAGGTAAGGTGATCAGACACAGTTAAGCTGTTTGGACATAGTTGTCGGAGATAATACTAACAAGTTTAAGTGTTCATTTTAATGGTTTTCTTCATTTTAGATCAATACATGTTTTGTCGTTTTTGTTGTTTGTTAAATCTATTCTTAGGTTAAACCTGCTCTTCTAGAAATAATTAGGGCAACAAGTAAACAATAGATGTTCTCTGAATCAAATAGATTGAAAACTGTGGTCAACTTAAATATAACTTTTACAAGTGTAGCTACTATTTTCAGACTCTATACAACAATTTAACTTTAAAAAAATCAATAATAATCAAAATCAATCAGCTAGGACAATACCAGTCATCATTAGAATGCGTCAAGTCTTTATATTCTGAAAGTTAAAGTGGGGCACATTTCAGATGTGTCCATAAGTGACAAATATTGCAAAAGATAGCTTTGTGGTTATTATGAACTCGAAATTTGCATATAGAACACGGATTTTTGACATACTTTGGCATACTAGGGCATACAATAACAGAAAAAAAAGGAACAAATAAATAAATAAATAAATTTTTAAAAAAATAATTTAAATTTAACCTTAAGTTTTAAGTGTTAAGCAAGTTGACTTAACTAATAACGAATTCAAATATTATTTGCCTGTAAGTACAGAAACTATATATAATATTATCATTAAGCAATAAGGAAATATATACAATGACTCACCCAAGAAATCAGTTCTTGGGTGCCATAAAGGTAAATACAGATGTGCAAAAGAAAAAAAAAAGATTATTAATAGTAGTGTAGTGCAATTCAGTTATTGCAAGAAAAAGTTAGATTGACAGCGTTCAATGACAGAGTTGTCAGTCACTACAAGTAAATAAACATAACTTCAGACTATTCGCAATACTTAGCTAAGATCTCCTGACAATCCTCTAAAGAAGTACAGCACTCGATGACTGAGCTGTCACCAGAAGGCCGAAAAGATATTACTCCATCCACAGTCCAGACTTTGCTGACAATGCCTTCTTCAATATCCTTGTTTAAGTATTTAAGAATTTCGCGGCGATTGATGGTTAAATCCTCTGGAAGGTTGAATGGACGTTAACGTTCCTTGAGCCCACGGCGGCGAGACATGACCGCAACTTTAGAATTATGCTTAGTAAACCGCACAATATATCCAGAACCAAGCCGAGGCCTAAAGAACGAATGTGCTACTCTAGATGAATAAAGTAAACTTCGTTATAGGTGCAAATCAAGTCTAAACTTCTTCAGCTGAAGTTCTAATAGTGACAAGAGGAGACCGACTTCAGCAACTCCATAGATGCGAACATTGGTTCTTCTTGTGTATTGCTCCAAGTCGTCTACTTCTTGTGATAGTCTATAATTGTCATCTTCAAGACCTGCTATGGCTTTGTCTTTCAGCGTTAGATTATTCTTAAGTTTGGTTAACTCTTCATCCAGTTTGGTTGTCTTTGCTTGATTTGAATTTATTAGTTCATTTATCTTCTTATTCCGATGAGCCAAGTTGAGTTTCAAAACCGGCGGCATCGAAGTTGATACTATCAGCCAGAGATCTCTGAAACTCTTAGTGACATGAGATTGCATAATGCTCGTAACGAGGCCCGAGAGTGATGATTTAACCTACTCGTTAAGTTTGATCTCTAACTTATCCCAGTCATCTTCAAAAGTCGAATCAGTTGGATCGATAGAATCATGAGACATAGGCGGTGTCCATTTTGGTCCCATAATGGAAAAATACGAGAGAATATAACCTTGATTGCAATAAATTTAAAATCGAATGATATTTTGACGACATTTTCAAGGAAAAGTGCTCACGTGAAATGCAAACAAAGCGTTTAACTGCAATCCCCCCTTGATGCTTTTACATTGTTGCTATGAAATGCAATTGTATTTAATCGTTTGCCAATATGTGCTACTGAGGTTTTATTTCATTCAAAAATTTTCAATAATTTTTTTAAGGCGAAAATGAATTTATTTTTACGGTAATGAAACTGATAACTGCTATTTGAAAACCTGTTTTTGGGTAGTGACAAGTAAAAGGCGTGTAACATTATGGCTTGCCTGTAAAATTGTTTGTAGGCCCAACAAGGGTGTGAGTGGATAATTAGAAACCTCAACCCGGCGTACACATGTCATTAACCAACTGACACAAACACTATTACAAAGCAGTAAGGCAGAGCAGTACCAACTGGTTGAAAATAGATGAAGTAAACTATAGAGGTCGATCTCTTGTTTTGTTTCGCTTCATTTACGAGGACTTACAACAGAGCCCAATCGCGCGGGGTTGAAGTACATCATGAGACCCCGCCCAGCACTACAACTTAGTTTCACTGTATTATGGAAGAGCCTAAGTAAAGAAAAATGTTAGAATTCGCATGTCTTTAATAAAATGCTATCTTTATTACAGACATGTCATCGGAAAGAAACGCAGCCTGAACAATGCTCACAAGAATATCCTAGATGGAGAGCTTTTAAGCAAATTTGCTCATTTGGGTACAATGGAAAGACTTGAAGTCACCAAGAAAATTGGAACTACTCCTGCTCAGGTATGCAATGATAGTAATTAGATTTATCTCTTATGCAGATGATATGAACTGCGGAAATACAAACTTTGAAATGAAGATATGATCGTCGTAGTGGTAATTGCAATTTAAATAATTGCAAATTAACCTGAAAAAAAATTTCGGGACTTCAACGGGATTCAAACCTATGGCCTCTGCGTTAGCGCCTTAGTGCTGTACTAATTTAGCTAGGAAGAGCCATGCATTGGGAGCAAACCAATTGGTTGAGTTCATCTTAAACGTGAATGGAATGAAACACATGCAGATGATGTGAACTAGTGAATTGCGAATTTTAAATGAAGATATGATCGTCGCAGTGGTAATTGCAATTTAAGCAACGATCATATCTTCATTTTAGAATTTGTATTTCCGCAGTTCACATCATTGCATATGTTTCATTCCATTTACTTAAGATGAACTCAATAAACTGGCCTGCTCCCAATGTATGGGTCTTCATAGCTCAACTGGTAGCTCGCACTACAACGCGAACGCAGAGACCATGGGTTTGAATCCCGTTGAAGTCCCGAAATTCTTTTTCCAATTTCGGGATAATTTGCAATTGCTGCAATTGCCACTGCGACGATCATAGCTTCATTTAAAAATATTAATCAATCTCGTTATCTTTGCGCGTCCTTAAAAAATTTGAAAGCTCATTTGCTAAACAAAGTGCGTTAATAGTTTGTGAAGCTTAGTTGTCAAGCGTGAATTTTCTCTCAAGTTCTGTGACCATTTCTGTTATTTAACAATATAGACGAAATACAGGGTCTTTGTTCAACAGGGTGGGGGACCGCTTAATACAGGGTGTGCGCTCGCAAGTTTTAGCACTCTCCTGACAATTTCTTTACCCGTCATTTTTTTCTTTATTTCTAGATTCTCGATGACTTGATGGATGTTGAAAGAGCTTGCACACATTTTTGAACCAGCCATTACCAGACGAATGGTGTCGTAAAAAGAAATGTCATTTGTTTTTCTTTTCTTTTTAAGCAGTTGTTTTTTAGCAAGTGTACATACCAAAAACTACTTATTAAACGCCACGTTGGCGCGCAAATGACCGAACTGCCGTCACGTTTCCTCGCCGTCAAATAAACTTTTGAAGTCACTTAACTTAGTCTTATGCTTTTGTCAGCTAAATGAAGTAACGCAAGTCTAATAATTTGCATTTGTGAACAAAAACCTTTTTGCCGGTTTCATCGATAAGTTCAGGTTAAACAGGCAAAGCTGTACCTGACTGATAACTTCCAAACCGAGTTGCATCGCCTTCTTCGTGTTGTTGGGAATATCTTCGTAGTTTATTAGTTTAAAATCTTTTTCTGTCACGGTATTACTGACCAGAAACCCATTTTGCTCGTAACTTATGCGATTTTGGCATCGCTCGGAGTTGAATAGCCCTGGATATCTCGATCTTGGGTAGCAAATCAGAGCGCGCGAAAACCGCTATCCACGGTTTTAGTATATACTAAAACTTTGGGATACATTTTTGGGCGACACCATCCACGTATCTAAAGTCAGTATTCATAATAAAGCTTGAATTTAAAATAGGCTTGCCCCTGATGCACTTCTTTATATTCTCGGTTTTCATCCACGTGACACACAGCTTGACAACGGTTGTTATCCGCCGTGTTGGTGTCCCTCAAGCGTAAAGATAACTTGCCTGTTCCAGGCTCCGAGATAGTGGTGAAAAGTCGTTCAGTAAAAAGAAATGCGAAAAACGCCACTGCCCCCTTTCCCAAGTCACGCGCGTCTTATTTTCGCTTTCCTCGTTTTAATATGTCCGGCTAAAAGATAACCAGCTAGTAGAGACTAGAGACGCGAGAGTGCGATAGTAGAGATGGTTCTTTGCATTATCGTTGAAACACAGAGGCCACTTGTCATGTGGAAATTCATGCTTTGTTTTACTAAAAGTGACATTTTTCTTATGTGCAGTGAGCTGGGTTGGGGTCTCATGCATGAACCGCTGACGAAAATACTTTGATACAAAGAAACTTTCAACTAAACGAACTGGCAAAGAAAAAATAGTGTCATTCAAAAGCAGCGTGGCCTTTGGGTTTATAGATAGATGCTTCATCTTGCACAGAATTTATTAAGTTTACTCTATTATTTTCCAATGAAGCTGTGAATCAAAAGTAATAATCAGATAAAAAAGGAGAAATTCTTCTCCTTCAAATTCATCTTTGATGGTTATAGAAGTGAAGATGTCACAAGTGGCTTAGGAAGACAATTTTAGGCATAATTTTCCGGATAAATCATTCCTGAAAACTCTGAAAGTAAAATTAACTTGGAACTTTGAAACACTGTATCAACTTTCTTTCCTGCATCTCGTCTTCTGTTCTAGCTGAGTACAAGATAATATAATATCCATGGGTGTTAATGGTGTAACATTCGACAAGACAGGTCCTCTTTATGGGGAGAAAACCTGTCCAACATAGAGATGCTACCCTGCATGAGCCAACTTTCATACATTTACCTACAATACATGGCAAACCGTTCACTTGAGAAAAGAAAAGACTCAGCTAGTCGGGTCACCCTCCTAGCTTGGCCAACTTTACATCCATACAAACACTTTGCCTTATGTAGCAGGATCAACTTTGTCAGGGCAAGACAATCAGAGCATCCACAAACACTGTTGGCTCAGGCAAGCCGGTCACCTTTTTCCCATATAAACACTTGCTAAAGCTGACTCAGCTAGGAGGGTGACCCTCCTAACAGGGACAGGTTTTCTCCAGAGCCTTAGTTCCACTATAGTCACTGTACAGTAAATGGGTTAAATAATTTTAAATACCTTTCTTAAAAAAATTAGGCAAGACTTTGTGGTATATTATTTATTTATCCTTTTTACAAATAATGATATAATACAATGTTTACAGTGATGAGGGTTGGATAAAAAATGTCCAACATTTCATAAATTGTGTAGTCAATTTGAATCAAAGTGAGTTATATCCAAAGCATAAAATTTATCTCCTGTTTTTACCTTTAATAAGGTTCAAAAAATCTCTAACATATAAGCACAAAAAGGCTTTAAAAATATTGTGAAACTAAACACTGAAATTTACCATCCTTTTTAAAGGACTGTAACAAGCAAGAAGATAAAGAATAAGTTTAATTTTCTGGCTTTAAGAAAGAAATCCCCTCTGACAATTGACATGTTTGTTTTCATGGCTGCAAGGAAAAAAGGAACCATCATCAGTGACATCTCACTCCATTACATTTTTGTTATTTGTTTATTTTGTTAGCATCTTGGACATTTGGATTTTGTTCTTTACCAAAACTTTGCAAACATTTTTACCGCTGACAGGTTATGGCTTATCCCCATATTTCCTCCTCTAAAAATAGGCCATTGCATGATGACATCATCTAACTACAAGGACCAGATTCCTTCAGAATTTTGCTTTATTGGGCAAATGAGGGTTTTTGTTATTTAAACCTTGCTGGGATTACCATATAATTTATATATGAAAGGGAAAACGAAAAGAATTGTGGTCGTAGGAGTAAAACGACATCATCGTGCAAATGGCCTATCGGTTACAGAATTGTACACCTTTTGAAAACCAGTGTTCTTAGTCAGTATCATCACTGTTCTTTTCTCATCTAAATTTTGTTTTCAAAGGAATACTACTTCTATGGAGTATTTGAAACCTTGTACTGGGTACTGGATGTCCTGAATAGATAAAATTAATGTTCAGCTTTTCAACTTCACGATGTTCTTTTTGCATTTCCTTAAATTATTGTCTGTGGTTCTATCAATTTCCTGTAAGGTCCCCCATTTCCACATTATTTGAGGGGTGGCGAAGGGTACCTTGAAAAACGTGGGTCTCGGAAAATTTTGGCAGGATCTCGAAATCTCGAAAGCGTTTTTGATAAGTCTCGAAGTCTCGTTTTTTCATGGTTTGTTTTTACTTTTTTTGAGTCTCGAAACTTTTCATCAAAGAGTCTCGGGCTCGGATTTCTAACTAGGATCTCAGCGTCTCGTCGAGTCTCGGATTTTACCATTCGCCACCCCTTATTTGAGGGAAGGATTAGATGTAAATCATTTTAGTAATTATCAGCTCCTAACGAGCAAAGTTTGGATCAAAACTTCCCTACTTTCTCAACACTGGAAAAATTGTGGAAAATTATGTTAAATCAATATACCACAAACATTTTTTTACTCTTCAGCCAGTGACACTGAATCACAACTGATACTTCATTAACTACTTGTGCAGCCCCCAAATAACAGATTCAAACACTTTTGGTTAATAGATTGCCCTAAATGATAGCTATAGGCCTGATATCAAAACAGTAAATAATTCGAGTCACATGTTTGCAAAACTATTACTTATCCAAGTCACATTTACACATGAATTCTAAAATAATAATGCCTGAGTCACGCTAGAGCATCACTTTTCTCTGGACCACAATGATTGGCTAGCTTAGTGGCCAAAGGCAAATTGACAGGAATCTTCTTGCCGAGATTTAGCATGCAAATGTAATAATGATATTGTCATACGGTGAAATTTTAAAATACTGCTGTTTTGAATTCATGTAATTTTTCTAACTTTACAACTCTCATTTCCATTGGTGCAATTACGTTCACACTGTTTATACTCATAGCCAAATTCGTTGTATTGTGTTGTGCGTTTTGCAAACTTCGAAGGAATTTTGGGTTTTTCTGTTTTCCTCTTAGGAAACACATTTTTACTTCTGATTGGTGCATTTCAATCCAATTTGTTTGTTTTGGTGTTTCAAGGTTGGTTGCTTGTGATCACCCTGTTTTGGACAATAATCTACTAGTTTTCTTCAAAGATTTTTCTGATCTTTCTTATTCTTGTCTCTTGCACGAATAAAGCAATGTTTACCTCCTGCCCTTGACAAAAATTCCACTTATCATCATGATTTCCTTTGCTATTCTTGAGTAGTCTAGAGTCACTCTCAGTTTTGTTTTTGCAGGACAAGCTGGGCAAGTGTTGCATTGTGATTTGCATTCACTCCACCCCACTCAATGATTGACGGAACAGAAAAATCCATTTGAAGTTTGCAAACGAGCAGCTCGATACGACGAATTTGGCTATAAAATCAATCTTACCTTAGCTTTATTTTGTACAGGTAGGTATAGCTTAAATTCTGCTGGAAGTTCATCTTCTGAATAAAGTCGGTCAGAGAAATACACCCGTCTGATCCTGCAGTTTGCATGAATCTGAAGAAAATGTTACAGCAACCAACTTCAGTGTTTATTTTAAGGTGCATGGTCACATCACACATATCAGTGGTATAAAATTAAGAAAAATTAATGAATGAGAATCTTGAACAGTCTTGTTGTGTCCAATGCCCATACAGTCTGTAACTGTTACAGTAATGAATTTTTGATCCGCACAACAAAAAGAATGTGTGAAAGTTTTTATGGCTTTAATTTGGCTTTACTTCAAGGTTTCCACACCTCTGAAGGTGATTGCAGAACCCAGTCATTTTTCAAGTTGAATAAACTCTTTAAAATACCTTTTAGTTTTTCTGTTTAACTGTAAAATTTGTCATGTATCTACTACTTGGAAGGAACTAATTCGAAAATCACTATGTTTGCCCATTTTCAGGAATATCACCGAAATCATGAAAAAATAAGAGTTTATATGGTTTTGGGGGGACACTGTCATAAAATTACAGACTTTCGCATGGATCTTTAAATATGTTGCAAGAGTCATAACTTGATCCCTGTTTAACTTTAGAGCACCAAACTTGGCCAAACAACCAATCTCACCATGACCTTTTATATGGTGCTGTCAGTTTATCAATCAATTTAAATTTGAAACTTGCCCCAGTTCCCTATGCAACTTCGAAATGGCCAATAGTATTGATCAAAAAATACCATCAGTAAACCAGCACCGAGTTATCTCTGAGGAAAGGAAGCATTTATCCTCTGTCCTTGTCTCTAATGGATACCCCTATTTGTTTGTAGCTAACATCACGAAATCCAAGAACCGGGAGGCATCTGATAAAAACCCACAACCAAAATTAAATCTACCGCGGTTCTGCCATACATCAAGGCTGTCAATAAGGGCTGATAGCCAGCCAAAACCACCGGCTAGTTAGCCATCCTTAGCTGGCTATTTTCATCTCCTTCTACCATAACTGCTAACAAAAAATAAGCACTATCGAATAAAATTGTAAAGTATCCTTTTTTTTAACAGGCCATCTGATATTACGCAATGCAGGGCTTCTGATATTTCGCGCGGTGGCGGACCTGCGAAATCCCGCAAAATTCCCCCAAAAACGCGAAATACCGCGAAATCCGCCAGAAATATTTCCAAACACTTGTCGGCAAACGTATTTAATACTTATCTTGGCCATTAGACCTGTTTTATTCACCCCAAACGTCCAAATTTATCTTGAAACTTCGTCATGGCAACGAGTAAACAACGTCCCAAAACTACCAGGCGTTCTTAGATTAATGTTGCGAAAAACTGGGCACTAACCATAATGTTAATAGCTTTAGCATTCGCTCATTTCTCGAGCAAACTGTTGTTGAAAGAACAAATGATTATCCCTGTTAAAAAAACAACGATAAACAACGCTGGTCATATCGACGCAGAATTGATTGATTTTAGCGAAATTTGCCAAAAAAAAATCCAGCGAAATCGGCTGTTTTTTACTGATTGTTTCTTGGCGAAGTTTACCCCCGAAATTTCCCGTGAAATCGGCCGATTTTTCTAAGAATTTGCCCCTGAAAATCCTTCGAAATTTGACTTTTTTCCGCTAAAATCCTCGCGGATTTGCCCCTGAAAATCCCGCGAAATTTTGCTTTTTTTTCCGCGAAATATCAGAAGCCCTGGCAATGGTGCAATTTCGCACAATTGACCTCAAATAGCATCCAATAGCACAATTTGAGAAAAATCGCATAGTTCGTAAAAAAAAACGCTAAATTCAAGTAAAGTAAACAATAAATTCTCACTTAAATCACACATTTTCCCAATCTTAACATTATTTAAGGTGATTTGCCACTAAAGAAAGCCTTGCAAGACATCTGAAACCTTCAATCGAGGTATCTGGGCAGCCATTTTCATTTCAGAGACAAGCAGTGTGGTCAGTGGTGTAACCGCGTCATGTAATATTAAACAAGTGTCCTTTTTCTTTCTTTCTATTTGTTTTCTTTTCCATGTCAAGATAATTGGACAAATTTAACTATCTTGTTTTAAAATAGATGTTTTATTATTCTTTTACATTCAAATTGCCTGTTAAACAACATTAAACTGATTTTTCTCCTTTGAAACCTGGTAAAACAATGTTAATTAGCCCTGAACAAATCGTATAATTTATCGCATAAAAGTCCTATTGTATTGCACAATCTACCCGAAAATATCGCACAGTTTCTGATTTTTATTGCACCCTGTCAGATGGACTGTTTTAATGATATTGAATGCATATTTAAACAGGTTTAGATGTGTGAAACATTTGAACCGTGCGATGTCATGGAATGCCTGAGACATTTTGACAGCATTGTTCCCAGTCTTGCGTGTATTCTGATGAAACAATGGCTTCCTGGTGGAAAATACCTCTTGAAAACCCCTGGAAACATGATTTCCGAGACTCTAAATTTCAAAATGTCCCTACATGCCTATTCTAAGCCCTAAGGAACTGCCTTTGGTGCGACCATTCCAAAGCCACCTATTATTCATTATCAGCCTGCTACTTAAAAACTTTCTGACAGCCCTGATACATCAAAGGGTTATCTGAACCACTTCGTTGTTGCCTACATCAGCATGGCATATGATCTGCTTTCAAGTCAGACAAAACACTAAAATCACACTTGGCACGAGTTGTTCCATCAAGGATGCTGTTGATCTTTGGAAACAAGATGGAGTGGAGTATGTAAATGTAGTAAAGGCAAAATGAGAATGTGCACACATGAAAGAATTAAGGCATACGATAGGGATATACAGCTTTCACAAACACAAACTTCAGCTGTTCTGAACGTGTTAATAAGCCTGGGCATTATCTGATCTGGGACAACATTAAGTTTATTGACCGAGAACCTCACTGGTCAGGATTGTCACTCAGATTTCTAGTTGTCGGGTAAATACAACAAGTAGGTGGGGAATCAAACAGCTAGAGATTCCTTTTGGTTCTATTTTTCTTCTATTTTCCAATGAAAGTAGCAGGGGACCACATTCATAGTATCTGGGGGAAATCCCTGGCCCCCAGCTCTTAATGACAGCCCTGCTGGTACTCTCATAGAGTTAAGGAGAGTATTCACATAAGACTTCACCCTGATAACATCATTAAGGACAGAGGAATTTAGATTCCTGAAGAGGGGATGCCTATAATCAGACTACATAGCCGCTGATCCCTACCACAATAAACCACTGAGAGAACAGTTTCCTGTACTTATAATGCCAACAATGCTTTGGATCGAAACCCACCAGCAAGGTATGTGATACACCAATCACGGTGGTACAACTAGTCCTTATTCAGTGAACCAACACTATCACCTGATGAAGACCTACCCTATGCGGTCAAAACATCACAATCAATATCTAAGTGACAATCGTGAACCAAAAAATAAACAAAACCCTTTGTACACATTTTTCACGATGAACAAACTCTTTCATCACAGGAGACGAGATGTATAAAATGCTTTAGAATCTTGGCCAATCAGAGGCTCTTTTAAAATTAGCAAAGGTTACAAAATACCTGTACACGAAGTGTTTCAATGTAGTTTGTACCATATGCCCGTCTTGTAAAATCCGAAAGGTTAAACTGGAAAAAAAAATGAAAGATACCAGTTTACATTAAACCAAATGCCAAAGTATTAAATGTACTGTATTTACATTTATACTAGCGCAACAACATCGGTAAAAAATATTTAATTGTTGTTCCTCCTTTCATACATTAATGTACCACTGAAAACTTTAACACGTAGGATGTGTTCCTCTACATTTTAAATTAAAGAAATTCATTCATCGAAAGCCATCATAATATAAGAATCGAATAAGATTTACATGTAGGCTCCTGGCGGTACGTGAATCAAATACCAGATTGTTCTACACGTTGTCACGCTACATGCAGTTAGCAACTAAATGTACCAACAAAATATTTCAAAATTCACCTGTATTTGATTCCATCCGTCATCCAGTCTCATCGGCATAGTACAAATGAAGGGTTTTACTCGTGTAGTGGACTGATAGTTTGACGCGCGAAATCGCCTCTTGACGTTCTTGTCGTCTAGGACCTTAGTGTCAACAAATGAGTTGTAGATTGTAAGGTTGAGTTTCAGTAACTACAAAAAGATCTGGAACTTCGAAAATTTGATATATCGTAAGAAAGATCATTGCTGATTACCTGGACTTCGAAAGTAAAGTATTTTTTCAAATTTTTTATGATCATCACCAGGAAAGGTAGCTTGATTCCAAGCGTCTTCTTGGGGTCAGCGGGACAGGTAATGTAAGTCGTACTGAAATAAAAAATACATACGGCTCAGAGCAGGAAGTCGCTTCATTTTGATGAAGTAAAGTGAACTACAAAAGGATAAAAAGGTCTTCTGATATGCATTTACGTTGACTTTCTTGATTCAAACGGGCTAGCTCATGCGATATGTGGGAGAGGTGAATTCTCTTTTAAAATCAACAGTCTCTGCTTATACCTGACGTTAGTTCCTACAACCTCCAAAACTAGAGACTGAATGTCGTTGTCAGTTATTCTCTTGATATGCCCATTCCTCACCTAAAAATGAAAAAAAGAAGTGTTCAATATAGCATATATAGCAAAAAACGAAGAATGAGGTTGTAGCATGGATATGGAACAGTTCCTTACTTTCTTGTCCCATATCTGTAACGGCTTGCTACCAATACTGTAAAGAATGGAGAGGAATCCCGACTGAAATGTGTTTTTAAACATATTTTCTTTGTTAAAACTCTATTCTTTTTTTCAAATATTTCTCGGAGAGGTTGACGCTCCCTCTACCTTTCTCGACTACCAACCGAATGTGTGTTGAAGTTCAAGTGAACAGTGCTGTCGCTAGGCGCGAGAAGTGTTTGTCCATGCGCGGCAGAAGAGTTACTATGGAAACTTGGCTCTAACAACCTCGTTTTCACATGAAAAAGATGCCACTCTTAGGGGACCATACAGAATATTGTCGACCCAAAAAGATAGTGAACAAATTTGAACAAATGAGATTTGAATGTCTTTGAAGATATAATAAAAATTGAAGTAGAAAATTAAAATGATTTCAATCACTTTAAAAACTTCAAGGAAAATGTCCTCGAAAACTCAAGGCAGCTAATTACAGAAAATGTTTAAGGAAAGGGCAGGCCCGCAGGCCCCAGGCTCGATTACTAGCCGCTGTTGGGGAAATGAGCCCACGCTCCGAATCGAAGGGCACCCTCCATTTAGGAAAAAAACCGGAAATTTCGGTGGGAGCAACGTGGAATTTCCGATTGGTAAAAAGTTGTTCCATTTGGTCGTAAACCCCGTAACGTCGCGGTGCCCAACCGTGGACCTGGAACTGGTACAAATGACGAGAAGCGTGTAAATGAAACACGAAATTCCGTTCGGAAATTCCAACCGGGAAAACGGGCCCACCTTTTTAGATTTTCCACTTTTTCTGGGAATTTTCCAGTGGGACGAACCGACAAAACGTGTTCCATTTACCGCCGAACCGGATTTCAGGAAATTTTGACTAAATGGAAGGCGCCCAGAGTTTACGGGGAGTTTACCCTAGTTGTTTACCATTTACCAAAAATTCCCCGTAATTTCTTTTGGGGATGTAAATGGTAAACGTTTTTTTGGTTGGTCCCGCTGGAAAATTCCCGGGATAAGCAGAAATTTTGAAAAGGTAGTCACGATTTCCCGGATGGGACGTTCCGAATGGATATTCGTCTACCATTTATGCATCAGTCAATTCCAGCTTCGGCCAGCCCCCCCCCCCCCCCCCCCCGGTTACTGCGTGGCATTTGCCCGCCTTGTCAGTCCCTGGGGTGGGGCATTTTCAAATTTTGTGAAGCCCACGGGCCGGGCATTTGCCAACCCCGGGGCCATTCCCAACTGAAGCCCCAACTTGACACGCACGCAGTTTCCTATCAGAATATAACTACACAGAGGATTTTACCGGAAAAGAAAGCAGATTGGCTCATCTGTCAAGGACAGGAAAAAATTAAAGAGGGTTGTAAAGGCATGTTCTTGATTTTATGCATGCATTTCTTCATTGCTTATCAAGCCAGAATTACATACAGCGAAATCTGGAGCTATCGACGGACGTGAATCAACGTTTTTTGGTTATTGAAACAAATTTCTATTGATATTATTTAAAAAAACATCCTTTCATATTTATAAATATGTCGTTGCGGCGTGAAGTCTTCATTATAATCCTAGCGCTATTACAAAGGAAGACGTATAATTGATACAAAAAATCGCACATTAAAATGCTTAAGGTGACTCGACCCAGTTTTTTTGCGGGGGTACCATCCTACTTTGAAGCTCTCTGGTATCCCCACCTTTACTTTTATTGTAAGTCTAACACATAGAATGGATAACATATAGAACAATCTACAATATAACATAAAAATTTTGCAATGGGAGTAAATGTCACGTGGTTATAATGCCACGCCCCTTTGAGGTCTGAGTCGAAAATCTGCTGTTGCCGGCATTTTTTCGTGAAAATCTCTCGGCTACACATAGTGCGCATTAGTGCCTTCCACTGAACAGAGTTTCACCAAAATCGCAAAGACCCAATTCGAGAAATTCAGCGGTTTCCAAATTTAGGTCATAATTTATGCGAAAATGATAAGTAAACTTTACACGGATTATATCTTATGAACTATGAGAG